AAGCCCGCCCCCCCCCCCCCCCCCGGCCGCAGGCAACAGAGGAGAGGAGCAGCTTTGCATCCACCACGTGGGTGATGAGAGGATCAGATGGAGTACTAGATAACTTATGCCCTTATGCAGGAACTAGGCAGCTGCCATATATGAAATAACCACATGTTCAACTGAGAAGTTTTGAACTTGGTCGAAGACATTCTGTCCCTAACTATATGCACAATGATGTTTAACAAGGNTACCCTTATGCAGGAACTAGGCAGCTGCCATATATGAAATAACCACATGTTCAACTGAGAAGTTTTTAACTTGGTCGAAGACATTCTGTCCCTAACTATATGCACAATGATGTTTAACAAGGACTTGCAATCTCTCACTTGGTTTTGATGAATTCTATTATTTCGGTCCCTCCATATATAATACACATTCATTGCCAAACACAGTTTTCTCAACACACTCACCATGGATTTGCCCTTCCAATTTTGGATCACATGACTTACCAGATGTTGCCAAGAGTTAAGTTGTCCCTGCTCACCCGTAAGCTGAAGTAGATTTCTCCATATGCTCCTTGAGTAATGGCATTCAAAAAATAAATGAGAATGGGTCTCGTCAGCTTGTCTACATGGAACACATTCCATCCCCACATTGTTTGCATAAACTCGCATTCTATCCTTTGTGCAAAGCCTCGTTCTAATGGCTAGCCAAAGAATAAAGCTCATCCTAGGAGAAAGTGCCGTTTGGGGCAGGAGTCCATTTAACAACATCCCATCTTTGTTGACATGGTTGGTAAATGGGCATGGTTTGTTCAATTTTCCGAAGCTCAAAGGTGCCTGTGTGAGGCCAATGCCATAGATTATTCCTTACAATGCTACTAACCTTTGCATCCCTAGGAAGATCTGAATCCTGAATAATATCACTACTCCATTTCAGCAGAAGGGGACCCAGAGGATGCCAGTTATCATGCCAGAGGCTAGTGTTTTGTCCATCACCAATGCTGTGAAGAATTTGGGATCTACATATTGCTCTTAGCTTCAACAAATTAAGCCAGTTCCATGAGCAACATTGTGGAGTCCTGACCTCCCAAAAACTTTTGCCTTTGAGATAATAAGAGTGAATCCACTTGACCCANTTACCAATGCTGTGAAGAATTTGGGATCTACATATTGCTCTTAGCTTCAAAAAATTAAGCCAGTTCCATGAGCAACATTGTGGAGTCCTGACCTCCCAAAAACTTTTGCCTTTGAGATAATAAGAGTGAATCCACTTGACCCACAAACCTTCTTTGTCAATGAAAAACAACCATATGAATCTCAGCATGTAAGCATTATTACAGTCCCTTATTTTTCTTATACCCAGACCACCTTCATCTTTTGGCTTGCAGACATCTTCCCAAGCAACTTTAGCTCCTGAGGTCCTTGGTTCTGACCCATTCCAAAGGAAAGCTCTCATGATTTTCTCGATTTTGTCAACCACTTGCTGAGGGAGGTATAAATTGGAAGCCCAAAAAATTTGGGTGTTGTTAAGAACTGACTTAATCAGTTGTAGTCTACCAGCAAAAGATAGAAACTTGTTTGTCCAACTTCTAACCCTTGACCCAATCTTCTCAATCAATGGCGTACAATGAAGGGTGTTTAGTCTAGTTGTCAACAAAGGAAGCCCTAGATACTTGATTGGAAAGTTGCCTTTTGGAAATCCAATCATCATAATGATTTGACTTTGAATATCCTCATGGACAGCTGCTAAGTATACGTTACTTTTTGCTGAGTTTGCTTGCATACCAGAAACATCTTGGAATTTTAAAAGTGCACCCTTCAGATAGCTCACGGAGTTCAAATCTCCATAGCTGAACAAGAACAAGTCATCTGCAAAAGTTAAATGAGTCAGCTTTATTTCTTGCACCTGTAATGATACTTGAAGGAAGGGTTAGAAGAGATCATTTTTGCAGGTGATAGCATTAAGAACTTCCATAGCCATCACAAATAAGGAGAGAGTGGGTCTCCTTGTCGAAGGCCTCTGGAGCTAGGAAAAAACCCAGCAAGTTCTCCATTAATATTGATGGAGAATCTAGGTGTAATAATGCAAGTTTGGATCCACTTCCTCATCTGATAACGTATTCCAAATATCTCTAATACATCCAATAAGAATCCCCAATTAATGGTATCATATGCCTTCATAATATCAACTTTGATGGCACATCTTGGTGACCCCCTTTGCTTGTGATAATCCCTAAGTAGCTCCTGAGTAAGGAGGATATTATCACTGATCTTCCTTCTGGGAATGAAGGTTGCCTTATTTGGTCCAATAATTCTAGGGAGCACACATTTGATTCTATTTGCAAGTATCTTCGAAATGACTTTGTACAAGACATTACAACATGAGATTGGCCTGAAGNGGTAATCCCTAAGTAGCTCCTGAGTAAGGAGGATATTATCACTGATCTTCCTTCTGGGAATGAAGGTTGCCTGATTTGGTCCAATAATTCTAGGGAGCACATATTTGATTCTATTTGCAAGTATCTTCGAAATGACTTTGTACAAGACATTACAACATGAGATTGGCCTGAAGTCACCCATTTCTGAGGGGTTTTGGATTTTTGGGACAAGTGCAATTATAGTGGCATTCATCTCTCTGAGAAGACTGTCGTTCCTAAAGAACTCCTTAGCAGCAGCAGTCACCTTCCTTCCCACAACAGGCCAAGCTTTTTTGTAGAAATATGAATTGAAACCATCAGGACCTGGAGGTTTCATATCATTAAACGAGAAAAACACTTATTTAATCTCTTTATTTGTAACCTGACTCACCATCTGAGCAGCTTCTTGGTCATTAATCCTAACCATAGGAAGGGAGTCCAANTCTTTAATCTCTTCATTTGTAACCTGACTCACCATCTGAGCAACTTCTTGGTCATTAATCCTAACCATAGGAAGGGAGTCCAACAGGTTTCTTCTAGCTTCAGCATTAGAGGTATCCACATTACCTCCCAGTAGCTGAATAAAGAACCTTGTAGCTTCCTCCTTAATAGCAACATCACCCTCAATGTCNTATTTAATCTCTTTATTTGTAACCTGACTCACCATCTGAGCAGCTTCTTGGTCATTAATCCTAACCATAGGAAGGGAGTCCAACAGGTTTCTTCTAGCTTCAGCATTAGAGGTATCCACATTACCTCCCAGTAGCTGAATAAAGAACCTTGTAGCTTCCTCCTTAATAGCAACATCACCCTCAATGTCCATTCCATTCTCCCCCATAAGTTTAACGAATTTCTTCCTGTTTCTTCTACTAGTTATGGTTTTAAAGAAGAAGGCAGTGTTTTGATCTCCTTCCTTCAGCCACAAAACCCTTGTTTTTTGTTTGAAAAAAACTTCTTCATTTATGGCAGCTACAGAGTATTCTGCTAATAGCTATTTCTCCACTGCCCTTAGTGCCGGATCAGATGGATTGGTATCAAGCCTTCTTTGGTAGTTCTCAAGTGCAACCCTCTTCTCTTTCACCTTCATAGACACATCCCCCCAACTCCTTACTNCTCCCATAAGTTTAACGAATTTCTTCCTGTTTCTTCTACTAGTTATGGTTTTAAAGAAGAAGGCAGTGTTTTGATCTCCCTCCTTCAGCCACAAAACCCTTGTTTTTTGTTTGAAAAAAAATTCTTCATTTATGGCAGCTACAGAGTATTCTGCTAATAGCTATTTCTCCATTGCCCTTAGTGCCGGATCAGATGGATTGGTATCAAGCCTTCTTTGGTAGTTCACAAGTGCAACCCTCTTCTCTTTCACCTTCATAGACACATCCCCCCAACTCCTTACTCTTATCCTTCAGTATGGTTTTGAGTTTCTTTAGCTTGCAAGACACTTCAAATTGAAAGGACCCCCGAATATTTTCATTCCAAATAACTGCAACAGTTGGTAAGAAGTCATCTCTGTCAGCAAGGTAGTTGAAGAACTTAAAAGGGCACTTTCTCCTCCTATTAGCTTCTCCCANAACTGCAACAGTTGGTAAGAAGTCATCTCTGTCAGCAAGGTAGTTGAAGAACTTAAAAGGGCACTTTCTCCTCCTATTAGCTTCTCCCATCTTGATTAACACAGGACTATGGTTTGATATGCCTGATGGTAGAAATTCAACTCTAGAGTGCTCAAATTGTTAGGTCTATTTTTCATTAACAAAAACCCTGTCGAGTTTCCTGGCAATGCAGGCTTTCCCTTCTCTTTTGTTCCTCCATGTAAAAAATAAATCAGAGAACCTTAATTCCACTAGTTGAGCCCCTTGTATACAGTCTTCAAAATCCTCCATAGCTTGAGATCATCTATTATAGCCACCCTGGTTCTCTTGGGTATTTCTAATGCCATTGAAATCACCCAAGAGGATCCAAGGGCGTGAGCTAAATGTGGCTGATTGTGATACTAAGTTCCTCCATAAACTCCTCCTTTCGTGATCCTCATTTGCCCCACACACAAAAGATGCAAAAAATTTGGTCCTACTATGAATGTGCAAAACACTATAGTGTATTACTTGTTTAGTCTCAGAGAGCTTGTTAACCTCTAGGGTATTGGGATTCCAACCCACCTAAATTCTCCCCAAGTAGTGACTGTGAAAATTATCAAAAGATTCACAGTGCCTAAAAACATTCCTTCTGACAATGTCTCTATTAACACCTCTAACTTTAGTCTCAATAATGCCCACAAGGTCCACATGTTTTTTAACAATCAATTTCCTAACTTCCTCCTGCTTAGAAGGTTTATTCAAGCCCCTAATATTCCAAGCAGCAAAATTAAACATCTTGGGGATTATCTTCTGAATATAAGATGCTCAGACATCTTTAGCAGCCCTGGAGTAGGGCCTTTCTTTTTAGCCTTCTTTTTCTTGTTACCGTTTTGGGGGTGGTTTTGGCTCTTTAGGTTTTCCTTCTGAGTTGTCTGATTGGGCATTGAGTTCCACAACAAGTTGACCTCCCTCAATTTCCAGATTACCAAACCTAATTGAAGCAAGAACAGGTTCTGGGTTTGACACTATATGATGAGAGTCATTGATGACTATAGAGGTTACCTGAGTATCTTGAGTGTCCTGTAGAGTGGTTTGCTCTCGCAACTCACTTTGAGCTTGACCTTGATCATTGTAGTTACATTCTGGATCATCAAAATATTCCTTGGTGACCAATTCCACTGCATTCACTATAGCCTTGCCCTTCTCATTTATATCACTTGTAACCTTCTATGCAGATTGTTTAGGCTTCCATATTTCATTCCGTGCCAATCTTGGACAAGTAATATCACTATGCCCAAAAACTTTGCAAACATTGCACACTTTAGGCTTCCATTGGTATTCAACTTTAATTTCTGTAATTAACTCGTTATCATCAACAACCATTTTCAAGTCAAATGATTCAACAAGAGTCGTCTTAGCATCCACCTCAACACATATCCTTGCAAAACTCAATCTTTTCTTTGTAGCAATTAAGGCATCTGCATAGATGGGTTTCCCAACTACACTGGCTACATGGCTAAATCCGTCCTCATTCCAAAATTGTAATGGAATGTTGAAGAACTTCAGCCAGACAGGAATGGATGAATGGTCCTCCTTTGTAAGCATCATATCAGGTTGCCAGCATTTCAATATAATTGGCCTGCCTGCGAGAAGCCATGGCCCTACCTCAAACACTGCCGTTCTTGATTTCTCGTTCATAAATTTGAAAAAATAAAAGCCTTTGTCATATGCCAACACCTCAAGAAACCCCATCTTGTCCCAATGCTTATGAGCTAAGAAGTTTACTGTCGAGTAAGGCAGCTTCTTTTCTATGAAGTAACCAACTAAGCAATTTTTCCACTCCAGTCTGCCCTTTTCCCCAACCTCTTTAGGGGGTTGAACCACTAACCTATAATTCTCCTTATACGGTGCAACAAATTGGAGTTTCATCACCTGGGGCAAGGTCTCTGTTGGTACTCCATTCTTAGATCTCGGAGATACTCTCACCTGTCCAAATTTTAACAGTTGGCTCCATGTAGGGATAGTTTTACCATTCTGCTTGAGATGATGGTTAATACCTTGTGGTTTATTAGCTACTTCAGTTGGTACCATGAGAGAGATGGAGTTGTCAATCTTTGCTCCACCAGATTGGTTTGTTCTTGCATTACCTTCTTTACTGTGGATGCTATCAAGTTCCATGCCCACAATCGGATTGGATTGGTTGACCTCAACCTTGGATGGGTGGGTTTGTGCAGAACCCCACCAAAAGTTATATTTAGTCCTCATTGATCAAATTTATTCTTAAAGTATTTAGTTAGTGTTTAAATGTTTCATACATAAATAGTTTGTTAAGTTTTTGACAAAAATGATCATGTGTTGGTCACGTACCTGAAGGAATGACTTGTGGCCATTTTCGTCAAAGAGTTTAATGGACCATATGGTTAGTTACCATTTAAACAAGAATTGAATATTTTATGGACACAATCTTTATATTCAAGATTAAATTGACAAAACGTGCACACTTTATAGACCAAAAATGACTCCTTATTTTATTTCTATTGACCTAACTAATTCTTAATTATAGTAAGCATTGATTAGAATATTAGAAAATAGTTTTACTTTACTCAATGAATTATAACTTGAACCAAATCAAATGATTTACCAAAGAATTGTTTTTATCTTTTTTTTTCTTATAGTTAGAACAACGAATTGTTGGGAACAAATAAATTTTTTTGAATTCTATAGTATAATACGAGTGATAAAAATATAATTTTGACAAACTTGAGGTGATATTTAATTTAGGTACACGTATACTTAATACTTTTTATTAATATTTTGTATACAAAAATTATTTACGTGCAGCATATATGGTGCATTACTATTATCTGAAAAAGGAAGGATGAATCATTTTAGTGTTTTTAGTACATAACTTGTGATACTATTACTTTTTAAAATGCACTTGACTATTGTATTGATAAAAAAAAAACCAATATCATAATTTTAAAATTTTTTACTTCAATTGGAGTAAAAAAAAATGCATACTTTATGGACTAAAAATGCTATTAGCCCTAAAATATAATATACTACTCTATAATATATATTTTAAAATAATATTAAAATTCTAAAATTTAAGTTTTATTTAAAAATACACTGTAATCTATTTTTATATAAACTCTTAATAAAAAATAAAAATTTTACTGTGATTGAAGTTTATGTTGATTTAATTTAAAAAAAAAAACTACATGAAAGATTATTTTTTATCTTAAAAATAAAATGTTTAAAATTTTGCATGAAAAAAAATACACATGTAAGTATAATGTTATTTTTATATTTGAAATGAGTAATGTTAGATTTATGAAGTTTTTGAAGATTTTTTAAACATTTTAAAAATTATAATGATGCATATATTTTTTAAGGGCAACATAATCAATTCAAAAGTTTCATATATACTGATATCTATACATAGATAATATAAAATTAAGATAGATATTAGGGATAATTTAGAGATTTAAACACATAAGGATATAATTATAATTTAGATATTTAACTATGAAATGATAGTATGGTATTTAAAATTATTTATAAAGATAAAATAGTGAATCAAAAATTTTTCATGCTAAAGTACTTTTATTAGTAGTATAGATGAAAAAAAAAATATATATATATGTAAGCATAATGTTATCTTTATATTTGAAAAGAGTAATGATCTATTGATGGAGTTTTTTAAAAAAATTTGAAAACTTTATTGAAAATTAAATGCATATATTTATTAAGTGTAACGTAGTAAATTAATTATAGTTTTTTTATATTTATACATAAAAATAGAGAATTAAAAGAGATGTTATGTAGTAATTTAGAGATTTAAATACATAAGGATATGATTGTAATTTAAATATTTAACTATGAAAAGATAGTATGATATTTAAAAAATTTTATAAGTGTAAAATGGAAAATGGAAAATCAAAATTTTTTTATTCAAGATATTTTTATTAGTAATATATATATATATATATTCATTGGATACACTAATCAAGACAAAAATTGTCTTCCTTTGTTGTACATGGGATACACATTACACACAGAAAGACAACATATACCACATATTTGGTTTCAAACCAATTATTGTCGCCTTTGTTCGACAACATAGAATAAAAGACAACAAGTCAATGTGACAGTTGTCTTACGCTCGTCAAAATATCTTTTTTTAATGGGAGGAGATAATATTGTAACCTCAAGTCAAATTTGATTATTTTTAATCTATAATTTACCTTGAATTCAGTATTAATTCCTTAATTTGTGTGCAATTCTGTTAACCAAGGGTGATTCTGTGACCAAAGTTTGCATTCAGATAGGTTTTGATAGTTTGTTTCAACATTAGGAGAGAAAAAGTTTCCTTAAATTTCCAACACAGATGATGATTTTAGTCTTTGTTTTGTTTGGAATTTGTTTTTACTAAAAACAATAAAATGATTTTCTGGTAAAATCTAGGTTACGTTATGATTGATATCCTAACATACAGATAGATGGCCACGCCAAAAAGTCTTGAAGCATTGGTTTTATAGACTTTGGCTCATACTCCTAGTGAAGACCATCAATCAATCAAGATCAGAATAGAATAAAGATAAAAAATGACAGTGAGTCGTTCCCACAGACAACGCCAAACTGACATACTCAAAATTGAGAGGTATAAGGTGGGGAAGCTGAGGAACTTTCTGGAGTGGTAAATTTGTAGGTTATGTGAGGTGTGATATGTGAGTAAGTAAATTGGCCTTAGAAACTAAAGAACACTCGAAGTTCAGTAGTTCACCAACTAAAAAGCTTGACTAAATCACTCTAATTTGTTCCTTGGATTCTTATTGCTTCATCAGGATGAAGAAGGTTACAATTTTTTATACATTGTTCATCCCCTTTTTCAAGCAAGGTCCTCAAGCAATCATAGGGTGGTCCCCTAGTTTGTTGGGATATTGGAGAAAATATTTGGTCATTAAAAACTACCCTTCACTAGGCATGACGTAGTATTCTAGAAGCTGATGATGTGGCGTTGATGATCCTATCTTCAGGAAGGATCTGATGTTGTGTTTTCCTCTCCATCCCTCTCCTTATGGTCTGAATTGCTTTAGACTAGTCGAGCTAATGACTGAACTAGTTTCAGTTGTGACCGAGCCAGACTATTATTTAGACTGTCTTGACCTATTACTTTGCCCCTTAGTTAATGACCCTTTTGCTATTCTTTGGATCTGTCTTATATGACGATTTTAATCTTGGTATCATCAACTGTCAATGATTTAAACTGTGGGTCATAATATTTATTATAACTCACTATCTATTTAATAGTTGTGATTGATCAAATTTATAAATCAAGTCAACATTTAAAGCATAAGTAGCATTTTCTTTAATAAATTCTCATGCTGTTCTCCAAACGTTAGGTTTTTTGAAGGTCCGGCTGCGGATAGATTTGGGCTTATTTATTTTCCTATATAAGTTCTCTTTATTCTGCAATGATGTTGGACAATTTGTAGTTTGCCCGTGTTATTTTCTTTGTGTATTCCTCCACAGAAATTTTTTTAACTACAGACCAATGAAACTGACACATTATATATTGAGACTTTATTTATTATTTGATTGAATAATTGATTTGTTGGGACGCGACTATTAGGAAAAAATATTATTTGATTAGTTATGATTATTAGGAAAAGACACAATTGAAGAGATGTGACCATTGAAAAAAGATACCTTTTTATAAAAGTCATATTTTTTGAGAAAAGACACATCTTTGGAGGGTTGCGACTTTTGAAAAAAGACACAAAGAAGTCTATAAATAAGGCCCTAGACTTCATTCACAAAGACACTAGTGTTTTGTGTATGAGATTTCATTGAAAGTTCTTCAATATTGTTAATCGTAGTTTTTCACCCAAAGGCTTTGTTGTATCCTAAAAATGATTTGCTTAAAACCCTCTAGCAAACTTTTTAACTGGGGGCAGATATCACTTTTAAAAAAAACGATCTTATGTGCCTGGAATTCTTGATTTTATTCTATTTTCAATCTGCATGAACCCAATTTCCCAACATTATATGTCTATTGAGAAGGATTGGACATTTGCCGTGAATTACTAGATGCATTAGAAACTACCTTTTTAATGGAGGCAGTACAAAAATTTACATAGCCACAAACGAAGAACGAATAAAAAACGAGGGAAATACAGTAAGAATGTTATGTATAGAGACACACGAGAAGTTAATTAAAGGAGGAGAGCAATGCATGGAAGAACATCCAATTCATGCACCATTGTAGCAGCACTGATTAGTTGTCACAATAGTGCTTGCAACTGTCATTATTATTGTATACTAGGTGGAAATAATGGTGAAATTGGCCATCCAACTTTTTGGAAAGAAAAAGCTTTATAGTTTTTGCCATGTCACATGCCTTTGCTCTTTTCTCATCATTAAGTTCGTTATTGATAAGGTTCTTGTCCATCGTGACTCTATGTTAGGCACAAGATGATTTTTTCTATGTACTACCCAATAGTTTAATTATTGGTCTTGTAACTCTATTTCTCTCCAAAATTTTTATGATGATAGACTTTGGGGCGATACTTTATCTTGTTTTTGGAGATAAAAAACCATCGATTATTTCTCCTATGGTTATATTGGCATGTGTACCCGTGGTCTTTGTAACGCCCGATTTCTGGATGCATTATCACATAAATCAATTGACAAAATTTCACAAATATATATCCAAATAAACGGGTCAGACCTATAATTACTCCAATAACAAATTAAAATATCTGGTAATAAAGTCTCTGAAATATAAAAATGAATCTCCTCAAACTATGTATTACACTACTTAGAACTATCATTACAAATTTTCAATTCCTGATTTCTCAATTTTAGTTCTTTACTCCTAGACCAACCTGAAAAATTAATTAAGCGCAAAATCATACAATACGACAAGAAATAATATGTTCAACATAAAAGTACGTATAATTGGATACCAAATAACTCAACAGATAGGCAATTGCGAAAACATGAATCAAATACAACATATCGCATGATTTAACTATTCAACTTACATAGCCTCGTACTCGGTTCATCTTAATAACTTGACAAGTGACACTCGAGCATAAATTAAAACACAAACCGATCAATCACACTTACATCCCATAGGACCACAATCACGTTTAACAAAATACATATTAAGT